ATCATAGACATAGTATATCTAGACCGAGCGTTTGCCTTTACTTAAGGAGTGGGGGTAAAGATGCACGTAGAAAAGGACATACTCTGTTTCGTGCCCCTTGCGTTCTCTCTCGCTCGCACAGAGCATAGCGCTCTCTTTCGTCATGCTACGTGCGAGCGAGAGAGAACGCAAGGGGCACGAAACAGAGTATGTACTTTTCTACGTGTATCTTTACCCCCACTCCTTAAATAAAGGCAAACGCTCGGTCTAGATATACTATGTCTATGGTCTAGATATACTATGTCTATGGCTGTGACTGTGGTATAAAGTTCACTGCGTCAAAACAACGATTGAAAAGTGAAACAATTGTTAATGGATTCCGGCATAAAAAGAAGATAGCCATGACAATTCATAACTTGTATATCTTCTCGAAAACTGGACTGTTATTGTACTATGCTGAGTGGAATAGGTTAAATAAATCGGGGATAACGAAAGAAGAGGTAACGAAATCGAAAATGTAATCATTATATCTCTCAATTAAAATCTAATCTAATTTAACACATTATAAACACGTTTAGTAATAATAAATTGTTATAATTTATAGCAACCTATATTTATTATTATATATTAGAAATCTTAAATTTTGAAACATACGCAGACTCCAAACAATGATAGAAAAAAAGATGTATACAAATGTAAAAGATAAAATATTGCATTTATATTTTAATGATCAATTATGTGATATTCTTAAGTATTGCAAATTTTAATAAATATAATAATCCTATTAACAATCAGAAATATATTTATAAAATTTAGGAAGCAAAATTGATGTACGGAATGCTGTTTTCCATAAAATCATTTGTGAGTAAAATCTCACCATTGGATCCCAAGGAAGGATTTTTGTATTACAAGACCAGCAAATATACACTTCATTACTTTGAAACACCATCAGGTCTTAAGTTTGTCTTAAATACTGATAATGCAAGTCAGAATGCCAGAGAATTGTTGCAACAATTATATAGAGAAGTAAGATTTTATATTTGCGTTTGTGTTTCTAATGGAAATACAGGAAATACATATTTGTACATATAATTGTATATTTTTCATTTTAGGTATATTTGGAATATGTAGTAAAAAATCCACTTTGCCAATTAAATGAACCTATACAAAGTGAATTGTTTAAAATAAAAGTAGATGAATTATTTAAAAAATCTCCTTTATTTTTAAGTCGATCATTATAAATTATAAAAAATATAAAATTTTTATATACAAGAGAAGTTGATTCTTTTTTAATAATTGGATGAATAATATCAAATATTATCTATAATATGTCGTTATATATAATAATACTAATTTAAAATTAGATAAATCTCAAAATATGCATTATGCTTTAATATCAAGTTAGAGCAATATTCTGAATTTTTTATAATTTATAAAAGAAAAAAAAAATTTTTTTGTTTTTAATTTTTCATAGTAGTTTATTTTGGCTTTTAGAGAAATATATACAATTGTTATAATATGTGATATGTAAATCATAATAATAATGCACATTTAGAAAATGTTTTTGTGTTGTACAATTATAATTACAATTATAATTAATAATATAAGCAAATATAGATAAATAAAATTATATAATTTATATATTTGTAGATACTACTATTCTAAAAAAAATATACTGGATAATAATTCTAAATAACATTTGTGTTTTTTTTTGTGCAATAAAAGTAATATAAAAGATATTTGGGAATCATACTTATACTTAAGTATCACTTACAAATGCTGAAGTGTCTTAAATAATATTAAATAATAATATTGTAATTCAAATTTAAATTATTTTTTAATAAATTTGGTTGCACATACTTTGATCGTCTTAATGAAAAAGAAACAATATTATGCTTATGTTGTAATAAAAATATTTAACAAGTATTATTCTAGAATATATATATATATATATAGGG